TGCATAGATGAGTGCATGGTGGATCTGCTCAGCTGTGTAAGGGCACAACACACACCAATTAGCATAACAGCATCAATGTGATAGAAGCACATGAAAGGAGAAGGATGTGAGGACAGAGAAAAGTCCTAAGCCACTGTTCCAGCAGAGAGCAGGACTGTACAGACTCCCTGAGACACAACGTGGAGTGTCCCTGTCCTCCATCCCAAGGGAAGGCAAGCTCGCTTGAGTTGGTTGGTGATCAAATGCTGGAAAGGGCATTAGGCAGCTCCAGAAGCTTCACAGCCACAGGACGCAGTGCTTTCCAAGGCCTGAGCAATGCTAGGCAGGAGGCATCACTTTTTAGCTCCCAGTGGCTGACAGTCATTCTCCAAGTCCCATCCGGCTTCTTCACCAGTGAGACAGGGCTCTCAGGGGCACTTTGAGATAGTCACAAAACTCCAAGTCACTCGAATTCCTTCAGCATTTCCCCAACCTCAGCAAGCCCCGCTGGCAGTTTACACTGTCTTCTAGCCACTACCCTCCTAGGAACATGAAGGCTAACAGAATTCCACTCTGCTTCATACCCCAACACTCCCCTACCTGAAGGCTGGCTGAAATTCCCCCACTGAGGTCTATAATGCCTTTCCAACCAGCACAACCATCCCTAAAATGTTTCCAAGGGCTGCGGTGAAGAGTACCCCATGCAGAACACACAGTGTGTTCCCAAGGCCCAGATGCGACAAAATGTGCTGCACCAGGAAGGCCGGACACCCACATCCACCAGTGCCCGCCAGGGCTGCTGTGGAATAGTGCACTGTTTTCTCCTTGTTATTCAAGAATGAGTACCGTATTTCTCCAAAATAAATCCTAACTGGAAAATAAGCTCTAGCATGATTTTTTAGGATATCTGTAAAGCAATGTCTTGTGTATTCTGGCGCCTGCAAATTTCCATCACTTTTTGTGTGATGTCATCATTTTTGTTGCCACCCCTGCCTTTTAAGAATTCAATTAGCACTTAATTTAATGAAACTTTGTGAGGTTCAGCCTGCAAGACATCGTGACTTGGGTGAAGAACTCTCGGGATAAAATCACTGGCAGCTGTGCTGCTGATGCACTACAAGCAGGCTACACGGCTAAAACGTGCTCATTTAGAGAGCTTCGCTGCTGGACATGAGATTAGGGTCAGTGGTTCGACAGGAAATGGGGTCACAAGAAATTCAGGGCTTGGAGCATTATGACCATGTTCCAGAAGATGGCATGATTGTACACAAATAAATGCAGATTTCTGTACATGAATAAATGTAGAATTGTTACACTTGAATGTTGACTATTGTACATGAAAAAATAAGTCATTCCCTGAAATGGCATCTTTTGAAGAAAACATTAACATACACTCAGTCTTATTTGGGGGAAAATACAACAAGTACTACATTGTATGTGTGGCCTCTGGTCACCATTGTATCTCTGACTAAGGAAATCATGGCTCTGCTCCTAACCCGTGGGAATCCACTCTGCATTACCAGCAAATATAGAGAACAGGAATTTCTGCAGGAGGAAAAAGCAAAGGTTAGGACTGCTGGCTTTTCACCTCCTTCCACAAATCTACTAGGACTGAGTGGTATTCTCTATTGTTCGCTGGGCAAAAATAAATCATGCCCTACCTGTTTTCTAGTCATTTTAACATGCCCCTTAATATCTATTTTGTCCCTTTTGCTTATCAGGCTGTGTAACGAGACACACCCAGGCCTATCCAGTCCCTCCCAGGTCAGCAATACCTCACCTACCTCATACAGGTCCCATCTGACAAAGGGGCTGAGGACGGAAAGGAGAGGGCTGAGCCATTCTAAACACCTGAACATTCTGAACAGTATGCTTTCTACCCCAGCTGCTTTATTGGGTCCCTGAAGCATCTTGGTGTAATGGCTGGTCTCAGAACATGTGCACTTCTTCTATACTTTCCATGGGTCACCTGTCCTCAGATGACTGCCTCTGCCAGGCCCAACATGATCCATGCTAGGAAGGAATGGTCTCCCCAGGTTTGCTGGGCATGGAGCAGTTGATGCCTAAAGGCCCAGTAAATGGGAACAGTCTTTATTTTTTTCAGCTTCAGTTTCCACCAGAGAAATGCCATCTCCTCCCCTACCCCAGAATCTCATAGTCCAGGCAGTCAGAATCTCAGAGGGCAGTTGTTCAAAAGCTTTTGAAATTGGGTTGGAGGGGAGATGGCTCAGTGGAATAAGTGCTTCCCTGGCAAGTGCAAGGGCCTGAGTTCAATCCCTGGTTCTGCAAAAAAAAACAAAAAAAAAAAAACAAATTGGTTGGAGAGATGGCTTTATAGTTGAACACTTGCCCAGAATGTATAAGGATCTAGATGCAACTCCCAGCACTGAAAACAAAAGCTTTTGTAGTCTCCAGCATTTCTCTTGCCAATTATCCCTTATGAGCCACATCTTCTTGACTAGGAGCCCTCCCCACCCAGCTGAATACTCTGTGCCTGAGCTTTCTGATCCATTAACAGCTGAACAGAAAATGTGACTCACAAGGGGAGGTCCCCAGGCCCTACCACTTGAACTCACTTCTTTCCAGTCACTCCAACCCCCTACAGCCATTCTGGTCTTGAGACACAAGCTCCCATACCTTTCCTACTCAGCAATCCAACCCATGCTGCACAAAGCAGGAACCAAGGACTTCAAGATCACCACATGAGCTGGTGTGGTTGCACACACCATGACTCCAGCACTCAGAAGGGTGAAGTTAGCCTGAGCTACAGACTGCATCCAGGGGCAGCCTAGAATATACAGTGAGATTGTGTCTCAAACAAAAATACTGCTGTCCTGACCTTTCTCAGTCATGTAAGAGGCTGAAAAGCAGGGTGACATATATCCCTTTCAAGCTGTAAACTGCATTCCAGTTTTCCTTCCTTCTCCACAGACAGCTGGGCACCAGTAGCCAACTGAACATCCTCCTTTAGTACTGTGGGACAAGGGGCATTCAGGGAACAACTGCTCCCAATTCAGCAGTGCTTTGGGTCATCCCTGTGCTCCCAGTGGGCCAGAACCTACCCAACCTGAGACTGCTAGAAGCCTCCCTCTCCCTGCCCATCTTCCTGGGTACCTGATCTGTGAACTGTTCTATAAACACCCACTGCTAGAGTAGAACTGGCCACAAGACACTGAGAGGAGGGAGACACAGGCACATCTGCAAGGGCAGAGAACAGAATTTACTGGGGACTTGATTACAACCCTGTGTGCAAGGGCAGCAGGAAGACCAGCAAGAATGCTCTGTCATCTGGGCCTAAGGAGGCTTCTATAAGGGTCAGGACCAAATTCACCCAAGGCAAAACGTACAGGATTTCTCTCCAGCAAACAGCAAAGACATCCTTCATCAGAAAACAGCAAAGACATCCTTCATCTTCCCAGCACCCAGAGCAGCCAGGTCAAGTCACAAAGTTCTATGGGTCACTCCAGTGATTTTGTGTTCTTATATCTAGGAAGGGAGACTGGAGCCGTGCAGGGGCAATGCTGGTGGTTATCACTCCAGATGCCTGGTGCCAGATCAACCTGAGCCCTCACAAACACTCACTGCTCAGGTAATCTCAGGGAGAAGATGGGCAGCAGACAGTGAACCTTCAAGCTCTGTAGAATCCATTAGTAATACTGAGACACGCTACTCCCCCTTACCATTTCCTATGAGGCCTACAAGGGAAAAGGCTGGTGGAGACTACGCGGGAAGGGAGGGGACGCTGCACAAGGCGCTACTCTAACTCACAGCACTAAGTTGGGAACTCAGCGAGAGGAGGGACAACGACGGTGCAGTTCAGGGGACGAGCACTTGGAAGCATGGGTAGGGTCCTCTGTTCAACGACTGGAAACACACATACAAGAAATAAAATAATGGAGGGAGGAAGAGTCAGATCTCGTGGGGCACTAACAGCTACACCTGGGGGATCGAACTCCATCAAGGACAAGGGAGAGTGGCAGCCCTTGGATGCCAACCTCAGGCGGGCAGCCGGGATCCCACCTCCTCCTAGTCTGGCCTCCCATGAGCCTCTTCCCTGATGACAGACTGCACGGTCAGACTCACTGCAAAGAGATGAGATGTAAGAAGTAACGAAATGTCACTTCCAAGACTGGGCTATCGCCAGGGCTTTCATCCCAGATACCCCTGGCTTACTGGCTGTCATGGTTTGTGTCTAGATGTCCCCGCAAAGCCTCATGTGGTCACAGGGCTTTTGTTGAGGTAGCTGAATCTAGTGTGTGTGATGTTGGAGTTAACGGTGTGTGACCAGTAAATCAGCCCACAGCGTAGCCAGGCCTAGTTCTGGCTAGGATTAAAGGTGTGAGTGCTACATCTGCCCCAGGGCAAGCAGCCTGCATACCGTATAAGGGATAGAGGGGCCCTACCATTTGTTTCTTTCTTTTTTTTTTTTTTTTTTGAGCAGAATATATTTATTGAGAGAAAGAAAGAAAGCTCCTGTCCCGAGAGGACAAGAGGGGGGGCCCGAGTGGGTAGTTTCCCCTACCATTTGTTTCTTTTGCTACTTTCTGCCCATGGACTATTTCTTCACTGTGACACCCCTCTGCCATGCCACCCTGCTTTGCAGCCATCTGATTATAGACTGATACCTCTATGAACTAGAAGCCAAACAAATCTTTCTTCCTTTAACTTTGGCTGTCGGGTATTTTGTCTCAGCAGTGAGAAAAATGACTAAGACACTTGCTTCAGCACAATCTGACTGAAAAGACAAGACCTGGAGAGAGACCCCTAGCTATCTATCAGCAAGGAAGTGAGGAGGCTCAGGCTTGTGAGAAGACTTCCCCTAACAGGCTTTGGACAACATCATAGCTCTGGCTCACAGTCTGAAGGAAACCTCATGAAAGCTCTGAGACAAGAGCACCCACACAAGCTGTGAACAGAGATCTCAGGTGCTGCAATTAACAGATAACCATTTCTATCGCTTTAAGCCATTCAACTTCGGGTAACCTGCCAACCAGCAATGGACACCTGCGAAAGGGCCTTACCCAGTGTGGCCACAAGTGCAAAGTTCTCCAGCATCACATCTCGGTAAAGGAATCGCTGAGCCTCCTCAAGAAGCTCCCACTCCTCCGGGGAGAAATACACAAACACATCCGCAAAGGTCACGGGGCCCTAGAAGGACAGTGACAGGTGAGCCCACGGGCAGCACCTCTGCAGAGCCGCCCCCTTCTGATTCAATGTAAGTGCAGGCAGCCCTCGATCAGTCTCTTTCCAAGATTTCCAAATCAAAGCCAAGGTCAGATCTTAGCACCACCAGCGCCAGCTGGCTCCCTGAGTCTCTCTCACTACTGTGCCCAGCCTTCCAAAGAACCAAGCAAGCACACAGCGAGGTGCTGCCTAAACTCTGTCTGGCAGGAATGGTCCCAAATACTCCTCTACCCATCAGTCATGCAGGTAGGTCCAGAACAGGCCTGCTAGATACAACCAAACCCAGCTGAGCTTTGCCTCCAAAGTCATCAATACTAGGGTCATGAGACTGTCAGTGTACACGCCTGCCGACATGCACTTCCCTCTTAGGACCACACCTTTCTTGGCTCTGAAGCCTCTAGCAACCCCGACAAACTCTTTACCTACACTATACACGCTCCCATGATGTCCCCAATGGGCCACTATGCACACAGTTAGAGAAATACTCACCTGTCTCTACAACAGACACCATGCCCAGCTATGAACCAAAACACAGCCATTTCCCCTTCCTCTCGTTCATCTTGCTGACAAATGGCACTGCCATCTTGACACTCCCTCAGCTCTGTTGAACTCTGCTTTGCAATTTCTCCGAAAGAACCGCTCCCCAGAATGAAAAACCTTGATATTTAGTTTAGCGTCTCAACAAGAGATGTGGGGGACTTCTTCAACAAAACAGCACCTATCTATTTCCTGAAAAAAATCACTAAAATCACTCCAGCCAGGAAGTTGTCCATCTTGGCTGAAGGCAGTTCTATCATTCCACAAGCTAAAGCACAACAAAGCCTTGGGATCATCCATAATTCTTCACATTTTCTTCACATCACAAAATCCCATTAACCCACTTGAAAAAACAAAACTGAACTCCTATCATTTCCATGCCACATCTGTGGTGGTGGAGACAGAGGCGACCAACAGTAGTAGGGTTAGGGTTAGGGTTAGGGTGTTCTCAACCTCATAGCCAGGGAACACTGCTAACAGCGGGATCAAATCCTCACCCTCCTCTCCTCCAAATCTTTCATGATTTTCACCACACTCAGAATACAGGTTCTGCTTCCAGTCTGCCATTCTTGCCTCGCACTTATCCCTGTTCTTTTTCGTAGACAAAATTAAGGTCTCTGGTTCCTTCAACACCCCAAATTGTATTTTAGCTCCAAGTATTTGCATATGCCAATATGCAAGGAACTCTTCCATTCCTCATCCCATTGGAGCCAAAAAAAAAAAAAGAAAGAAAGAAAGAAAACTTCTCTATATATCTCAGGGCTGCGCTAGAAGAGACCATCTTTGCAGACCCCTGACACAAGTGAAGACAGAACTTCAGTGCAGGAGTGCCAGGATACCAAGGTCTCCTCTGAAAATCTGGTCCACCGACTTTAAGACTGACTGAAACACTTTCGCAGCAGCCAGGGCAAATCCTATTGCGAACTGCGTCGGATGGCCTCCAGCTCTCTAGCGAACCACTCTCGACTTCCTCGGCTTCTCGGGTCGCCGTGACAGCCCGGACCCACAGCCGCTGGCATCTTTTCTCATCAGGCCAGACGCTGTAACTCTCGCAGGTCACCCTGACGACCAAGGATTCGCACGCCCTCTGTGGCCTGCAAGCTGCCCGCACCTCCCTGACTGGCCCGCAAGGCGCTCGCGGAGCACCCGGCGCGCGCGAACCGCGAGGTCCGGGCGGGCGAGGGCCCGAAGACGCGCTATTCACCTCGGCCTGGTCCATCCTCGCGGTCGCCGGACGGAGGGGGAAACGGCGGCGAGAAGCGGAGCCGCGAGGCGTCAGCCGAACCCCACTCCTCCCGCGGCGCGCGAGGTCCCGGGCCTGGGGAGCAGCGCAGCCCGCCGCACATGGCCCCGCGAGGCCGCCCGGCCGCAGGGGAGGCCTGGGCCACGCACACACCGAGGCAGGGCCTGTCCCTTATGGTCCTGGCCTCGCAGCGCACAGGAGCTGGGCAGCACCAACCCGAAGCCACGTATCCAGGGTCTCCCGCTGAGGAAACCTGGAGGCGGGCGGAAACGTCCCCAGGCCAACGGCGGAAGTCCCGCCTCTTCCGCCAAGAGAAACCGGAAACGCCCACTTCAGGGTTGTGATTGGTCAATATTCTGCGCACGGAGTTCTGGGTAGTGTAGTTAATTGCTTGTTTTACCCAGGCGGTAAGGAACCTGCTTGTTATTTAGGTCGTACCCCGTACTCCCACCCGCCAGTTCTTGGAGAAAGCAGAAAAGTTGTATAATGTCCATAATTTACCAAGATCAGGAATAATTTTCCTACTGTGTTCACCACAAAGTTATAAAATGTGTCTAATTTACCGTAAACAACTTTACACCATAATTACCACTCAAGTTGACATCTTTGGCTTGCAGGAAGGGAGGATGAAGTGGAAGGTGGTTGCTCTTCGTAAGGAGAGTCCCCTCGCATAAGAACAGCAGGAATCTGGCTCTCCGGTGTCCTTTCTCTCCTTAGAAGGTGTGTAGCTCAGTAGGAACTGCTCCTGGCTCACTGTCAACCTTTCAGAGCTAAAAACTGTCTAAGGTTGCCTGCGTCTGTCCTTTCTTTAACGCTGTTCTTTTCTATTGCAGTTGCTTTCTTTCCCTTCCCTTCCTTCCTTAACTGCTTTGTAGCTTTGGGGGGATCATTTTGATCCCAGTAGTAATGGCAGTTATATCCAGGTGAGGAGAGCCCGAACCTGCACCTGACTCAGATCAACGCTTATGTACACACACATGTACTTTTCTATTATTGAGAGTCTTTGTTTACAATCTCACAAATGGCAAGTATTTGGGTCATAACTCAAGACTTTGGTCATAAATTAAACCTAAACTTCTTGTCTTACCCAAGTTGTTGCTACGTCAGGCCAAGAGAAACTCAAGGGTCTACTGTACAGTCCACCAGCCCCAACTTCCATCTTTAGATGCAGAAACATTGGAGGGGACCACCTAAAGCTAGAGAGCTGACGCTGTCTTTTTTTTTTTTTTTTTTTTTTTCCCCCGAACCAGGGATCAAACTCAGGCCCTTGCGCTTGCCAGGGAAGCGCTTATTCCACTGAGCCACCTCCTCAGCCCAAAAACCTGGAAGCAAACTTTTTTTTGTTTTTCAGAACCAGGGATTGAACTCAGGTCCTTGTACTTGCCAGAGAAGCACTTATTCCACTGAGCCATCTCCCATAGAAACTTCTCTTTTTTTTTTTTTTCAGAACCGGGAATTGAACTCAGACCTTTGCTCTTGCCAGGCAAGTGCTTATTCTACTGAGCCATCTCCCTGCTCTCTGAAGCTGTCTTTATCCTCCAAGAGTAAAAGAGGGTGCCACACACACACCACTTACTTTCCTTTTCTCTTTTATTTTAATTAAGTTTATTGATACAATTTAGGTATTTATAATTATCACATTTATCATATGGAATATGCGCCTGCACATGTCTCAATTCCTTCTTTTCTCCAATTCTCCTACCCTCCCTACAACCCCTCCTCCCCTCTTTATTTAGAAAACCTTGTTTATATTTTATCTTTTTACATGTTTCATTATTTTCTTTTCATTTCTTCCTCCCCTCTTCCTAATTCCTCATGCCTTTGAAAAATTTCTTCTTATTTTACAATTTCTGTTATACATTCTGGTGCTTCTTTACCTAGTTAGTTTCTCAAGCCAAAGAAACGACGTGTTATTCACCAAGGTGTCCCATGTATGTCACTTGAGAGTGTGGCCTCAAGGTTCATTCACTGAGCTATAAATGTCAGCTATAAATGTCAAAAGCAAACTTATGCTCCTGTATGCCTGAGTAGTACTCCATTGTATTATTTAGAAACACATCTTTTTTATCCAGTCAATGGTTGGTCAACATTTGGGCTGTTTCTAAGATGTAGCTATTACACATTGTACTGCCATAAACATGGGTGTTCATATATCACTGTGTACAGTGTTCTTAATTCTTTTGGGCAGACACCAAGGAGGGGAATAGCTGAGTTCAATGAGACATCTAATCCTAGGTTTTGAGGATTATCTACACAGATTTCCACAGTGACTGGAACACGCTATACTTGCACCAACAGAGCAGAAGTGTTCCTTTTCCCCCACAGACCTGCCGGCATTTGTTATTGGTTGATTTCTAACAATAACCATTCTTAGGGTCAGTGAGATACCTCAGCAGATTAAGTGCCTGCTGCGGCAAGCACAAGGACAGGAGTTCAATCCCTGTCCCACGTGCCACACCAGCCCTGTCCCCCGGGCCCAACAAGCTGGTGGCCGAGTCCAGGTGTGGTGGTGGTGCACACCTCTAGTCCCAGAACTGGGGAGGTTGAAAACAGGAGGATCACTGTGAGTCTGAGCTGTGCAGTGAGACCCTGTACAAGATACGGAAATATTAAAAAAAAAAAAAAAAACTAGCCATTTTCTGGAGTGATACAGAATGTCAGCATTATTTTGATTTCAATCTGTCCAGTAATCAGTAATATTAATATTTGTTTCATATGTTTATTTGCTGTTTGTATTTCTTCATCTGAGAAGAGTGTATTCATCTCAGATGAATATTTTTGGATTGGGTCTTTAAGTTTGGGGGTTTCCTGTTTTCAGTTCTCTCTGCGTTCTAGATATTTGTCCTTTGAGGAACATCTGGGGATTTATTTTCTCTGTGGATTGTCTTTTCATGCTGTTGGTGATTTCTTCTTGATAACAATATCCCAATTGTTGATTATTTGTAGTATTTCCTTTGTGGTGAAGATTTTGTTCATGAAGGATTTGCCTATACCTATGGCTTCAAGAGTTCCACCAATATTTTCTTCCAGCAGATTGTTTCTGTTTGAATATCTAAATATTTGATCCTGTTTCTACTTTTGTTCAGTGCGTGGTGATAGCCATGTGTCTAGCTTCAGTCTTCAGCATGTAGAAAGCCAGTTTTCCAGCACCATTTATTAAGCAGGCTTTCTTCTAGTGAAAGTTGTTTAGCACCTTTGTCAAACATAAGATGGCTGAGTACGTCAGGAGTAATTTAGACATTCTCTAATCTGTTCCACTGATCCTCAGTTCTATCTTTTTGCTAATACCATACCGTTTGTATCACAATAGCTTTGTAATATAATTTCAAGTCTTGGCTTGTGATACCTCCAGCTTTGTCTTTGTTGCCCAGAATTGTCATTGCTATGCTAGGTCTATTCTCATTCCAAATGAATTATAGGATTGTTTTCTCTAGTTCCATGAGATATACTGTTGGATTTTTTTTAATCAGGATTGTATTAAATCTATAAAAGCTATGAAAGTATGGCCATTTTCACTATATTGGTTCTTTATACCCAAGAAAAAGGGATATTCTTCCATTTTCTGATATCTTCTTCAATCTCCTTTTCAGAATACTACAATTGTCTATGTAGAGGTCTTTCATTTTGTTATATTTATTACTAGGTATTTCATTGTTTAAATTCTATTTTGAAAGGTGCTGTTTCTATAATTTCTCACTCAGTGAGTTTGCTGTTGATGTACAGGGGAAAAAAAATTTGAGACAGTTCCTCACTGTGCAATTCACGGTAGTCTTAAACCCACTTTGTAAGCCAGGCTGGCCTCAAACTCACAGCAGTCCTCCCGCCTCAGCCTTCCGACTGCTAGGAGTAGAGCTGTGCACAAGCACACCCAACCAGCTATTAATTTGTGAGTGATGACTTTGTATCTAGCTATGCTATCAAATTTGGTTTTAAATCTAGAAGTCTTTTGGTAGAGTTTTGGGGATCATCTATGAAGAGAATCGTGCCATCTGCAAATAATGGTATACTCATTTCTTCCTTTCCTATCCCTATTACTTTTATTCTTTCTCTCGTCTAATTGCTCTTGCTAATGTGTTCAGGACAATAGTGGATAAAAGTAATGACAGTGGACATCCTTGTCTTGTTCCTCCTTTTAGAGTGAGAGCTTCAGTCTTTGGCCATCTAGTATGATGTTGGTTGTTGGTTTATCACAGGATTTTATCAAACTGAGATGAAGACCATCTATTCTGATATTTTGTAGGGTTTCTATGATGAATGGGTCCTGGACTCTTTCAAGTGCTTTGGTGTACTGCATTTATTGATTTACATGTGTTGAACCATCCCTGAATTCCTGGGATTAATGCTACTTGGTTTTGACGTACAATCTTCTTGATGATTTGCTGCATTCTGTTTGCCAGTATCTTATTAAGAATTCTTGGGCTGGTGAGCTGGCTCAGTGGTCTAAAGCACCTACTTAGAACAAGCTTAGCAAAGCACAGGGACCGCGGTTCAATCCCCCAGCACCACATGCCAGCCAGCCCCGCCCCCTGGTGGGCTGAGCTGGCCACACACACGTGTACACACACACACACACACACACAAATAAATAAATAAATAAATAAAATAAAAAGAATTCTTGTATCCATGTTCTTTCTGGAGATTGGCCTGTGGCTCTCCTTTTCAACTGGCTCAATCTATGTTTTTGTTATCAGAGCAATGTTTTATTCCATGAATGAACTTAGATGTATTTTTTGCCTTTCAATTTAATTAAAAATTTGAGAAGTATCAACAGCAAGTTTCTTGTAGAATTCAACAGTGAATCCATGAGAGCCTGACTTTCTTATTGTTTGGGTTTTGTTTTGTTTTTAAGACAAGGTCTTGACATGTCCTTCAGACTGGCCTCAATCTCAATGGAGTCTGGGCCATTCCTGAACTAGAGATGATCACACTGCCTCAGCCTCCTGAGTGCTGGGATTACAGGAGTGTACCACCATGCATGGCTATGTTTTAAGGTTTTTAATTGCACCTTAAATTTAATAACTGCTACAAAGCTATTTAGAATTTTCATATCTCCTTGGTTCAGCTTTGAAAACTGACATGTATCTAGGAATCTGCATTTCCTGTCTCATTAGAATACAGGTTCTCACTGTAGGTGTAGATGATCTCGATTTCTACAAGATCTGTTGTGATTTCACCCTTTTCATTCCTAATTGCAATGACTTGAGGCTTTCTTTTCCTTTTTTGTTTGTTTGTTTGATAAAGTTGTCAGGAGTGTCAGCCAAATA